CGTGGTTGATTACGTTACTGTTGATCATCTGTCCATCATCGTATAAAGCCCGCCCTGACAATTTGATTGGATCGCCAGAGGGTGGGCGATAATACTCGCGCTACTATGGAGCAGAGCCAGACCGAACTTCCCGACCTCAAACTTTGTGGGCGGGACTAAGTTCGGAATGGCACCCAGGCTACCGCATTAAAGTTAAAGACTTAATTCATTACACCACAGAGAGACCTTTATGTCAGAGTGAAAAAAGTAATATAAACTTATCAGATTTGCACAGAACAGGGAACAGCCAACCATAAGACATGTTTCCCTCAGGGTTTCATTTATGCACATTTTAAAACATCCCATTAGAAGAGCTTGATGGAAACAACTAAATTTGAATAAACTTATGTAATTTTATAAAAAAGTTTTTAAGCTCTCCTTAGGTGGTTTTTGACTTATTAATCTCTTAACATTCAACTCATTTTGGGTAATCCTCGCCTATTTTGTCTACCCAAATGGAAAAGCAAATAACTTAGGAACTGTAAGCCCAAATAATGTGCAATTATACAATTGTACATTATTTGAAAGCTAACACCCTCTAGTTTCCTAATATATAAATTAAAATTGGTTGACTAAAACAGGCATCCCCAACCTCGGTCCTCGAGGCCCGCTGTCCTGCAGGTTTTAGAGGTTTCCCTGCTTTAGCACAGCTGATTATAATGATTTCAGTAGACCAAATGCCTATTAATCAGCTTTCAATTAAAATCAGCTGTGCTGGAGCAAGGAAACCTCTAAAACCTGCAGGACAGCGGGCCTTGAGGACCGAGTTTGGGGATGCCTGGACTAGAACACAGACCAACCTGCATCAGTTCAAACATGACTCAAAGTTGTTTTTTCTTTTATTCTCGGAAATTATAGGTCTTTTTTGAACAGCAGTAGTAAAGACATTCTTGAGAAAAAGCAGGTTTTATTGTATTATATTTGTTCTGCATCATGTCAACCACAAATGCAGAAAATTTCAATCCTCTAGCTACGACAGTTCCAGAGCTGTGGGGTTTGGAACTTTTGGTGTCAGCTTGGAGCTGCGAGCAATGGCTTCACCTGCTGGTAAAGATTTTACCGGTGGAATTTTATGTATTCTGAGTTATTACCCCCATTTAAGGTCTTGAGAGGTTAAAAAAAAAGCTAATTAGCTATAGAGGAGATGGAAACTTATATGTCAACTAAGTTCTAAAGCAGCAAACATTTAGCTCCAATGATTGGTTCACTCTGTCTGTTGTCCTTTTAGGAGTTACGGTACATTTCTGTCTTTACGTCTCTGGATGGTATGTAACATCACTAATACTAGCTGAGATCATAAAGTAAGCACAAATTGCCTGTTTACAACAAATTAATTAAAACTGTGTTTCATTAATAATCTGTGGTCCACACTAGTTTGCCAAACTTCACTTCCTATTTATTACAGCCAAGCGTAACATAATCATATGATGACATTTTTTGCTTTGCATTGCTGGTTAACTTGTTCCAATGAATGGAAACATGTCTCATCTCCATTTTCTTTTTTTCCAATGTTCTAAAAGTTTGGACACATGGATAGAAACACAGTAGTAGCACTCTGGCTCCTAATAAGATTTGGACATTTACAAGTGCTTCAGATGTTCCTGATGGCCACATGTTGCTGTAGGCAGAGGTCATTTTTCAGCATAGAAGGTTTATGACAGTCTCCTGGGAACGTAATAAAAGGCATCTAATGTTTCTTAGATCTATCACACATATCCCACTAATTTATTAGATTGGCTACTTTAGTTTCGATCAAACTAATTAATACAATCTGCCAAAATTGAAAAATAGATGTAAAGTTACTGGAGTACTATTGCGTGATTAAGCTTGCCTGAAAATAAACAAAGGCAGACAAAAAGCTGATAAATGCCATGAAAAAAAGACAGCTCATTGTTTTAAAAGTCCAGCCAAGAAGTCCATTTATAGCTTTTTGAGCAGCTGCTGTATTTTGGATAAATCTCTGATAAACCCCTGGTAAAGTCAGCCAAGCTCAACAACGGCAAACAGACAAAGTAGGCATGCAGCTGGTGAACACTGTGCAGCATTTAGCAGCTGAATAGAACAAAATCATCTAAAGAAGAGCAAATCTAAGATCTCTGATGAGAGGGATTATTTGTGAGGTGAACAAGGATTACATTTTACATTGGTGCTACAGTACTGATGCTTTGTGTTCCCTAAATGCACAAATAACACAGATGCACTGATCAGAATATTAGTGCTGAATTCCAATTTCCACTTTTTGCAAAGTTTCAACCTGCAAACACTGATGTGATTCAAATTGGATTTCTTTCTAACTAAAACATAGGGGCCTTCCAAGGACTTAACATGTTGATCTGAGCAAACCATGTTACTGGTATATTAACAAATGGTGTGATTAGCATTACTATTGTTAACAATTTTCTACAAAATATTAAACATAACCTTAACTGAGATTTCTAATGCTACATTCAAACCACACACAGCAGAAGCAGCAAAAATGTGCATGCTGCTTCGTTTTTTATGCTTGTACAAGTTTAGTTCTGATGTGCAGCTGAAGCATCTTTGCTGCTCTAGCTGCGTGGTCGAAAAGTGGGTCTGATGCATGTTGGCAGAGCTACCTTATCCTTTCTTTGCCTGTAACAATGGCGGATGGAATCGAGAGTCGCTCGGCTTATTTCAATGAATAATGTCACGTTCAGACCGCAAGCACTGGAAGCAGCATAAAGCTTCTGCTGCTTCATGTTTGATGAGTGTCCACATTAAGATCAAAAGTCCAGTAAAGTGTGTCCAGATGCGTCTGGTGCTTCTGCTGCTCCTGTGTTCAGTGGCAGAGAGCGGATTTGCTATATTTGCTGTGATCAGCGGGCAAAAAGGAGTTTTAATATGTTTTTAAGAGAGAAAGTCCAACTACATTACTTGCTACTTCTGAAGCGCGTCAGATGCTCCGAAACTCATGACACACTGCTTCAGCTGCTCAAAACGTGCTGCAGGACCTTTTGCTGCGCCTTGATGCGCGTCAACCTTTGACTTTGCACGTAAACTAGCTGATTCTGCTACTTCTGTAGAGTGCGGTCTGAACATAGCATAAGAGGTTAACCCATCATGTTTTATAACAGAGAGGCTGAAAAGGACAACAGTAACCCTGCTGTACTTCGCTCCGCCTTCCTCTTATCTGCATTAAGTCTCACTCTCTAGCAAAGAAAGTTTCTATTTTAGTAAATCACATTGTTTTCTCTAAATCTATTTTAAAACACTTCACATTCACTTCAAAAAGGCTTTTTCTTTTTCTTCTTTTGGGGACAACTTAGTACATTCACTAAATAAAAAAGACTGAGTTCCAGTTTCCATTGATGGCTGCTTAAAGTTACTGCTATGACCATTCAGGAAAATAATAACTATATTAACATTTTACTGTTTCCTCTGGTCCCCTAAAATGGAGAGGAATAAATCCAATCATCCTCCATGTGTATAAATTTGGACTAACTACAGCAGCACTTAACGAGCTCTCATGTGTGCTGCTCATAAAGTTTTGTTGCAATAATCTATATGGAAATAAAGAGAGCAAGGTTCAACTGTATGCAAAACATCTGTCCCTCCTCAGAGTGTTGACATCATTCTCAAACAAAGTTGCACATTTAAAAATACTACCTGTGTAATAGGAGGGAAATATTATTCCAGATTATTTCTTGTTTCAGAAACCACAAAGGGTTGTAGCCCCAAATTATATAAAAGAGAAAGTTGGTGGTGTATTTATATCAACAAAGAAATACCTCAAACTATAGTCACGTCAAAAAACAAAGCTTCTTTTTAAGTAACTGCAGAATTTTAATGTCAACAGTTCTTTTACATTCAGCCAAACTATTCTTCTCTTTCCCATTATTGACCTGATTTTTGTCATACTGGGTCAAAAGCGGATGAGCCTACTTAGATTTGGCAAAGCAAAATGGATGCTATCTCCCTTGACCAGCAGGGGAGCTGTGCATCCTGTGCGCTTAGTTAAAACTGGTTATTTTCCCTCCAATGTCATCCTCCTAACATCAGTCATTACCCTGGAGATTAAAAAATAAAGATGAGTCAAAATAATATTACTGTGGCAGGGACTCACAAAAAATTTGACCCCATTTATCAGGAAGGCACGAAAGTGTGTCAGCTTACACATGTACAGCTTGGCAAACACAGAATTCATTAGGGAAGCTAAAAATAAAATAAAAAAAAACAACAGAGAACATAAAAATGTCATACTTCATCATACCTTTGCATGCACTGACCCTAAATCTGTAGCCTGCAGCTAAAAATTACAGGCGGGCGACTTTTCCTCTAAGGACTCTATATTTTACACGCATGCATTGCAGAGTCACAGTGACAAGAATAACAGTGCATCGCTGTATTATATATGGTTACACACACACACACACTATATCCTGTGTCTTCCCTGTTGTCTTTAATCTGGGACCATGACAAGCATGCAGCAGATGGTGTCCACAGAGAGAAAGTGTTAGACAACCGAGGCACATTAAAAGCTTCCCTGCAGAGACATCTATCCTTCTGGTCTCATTCGGCCAACCTTCGCATAACCCTGGCTAGCTTGTGTGCCAATGGCTGTTGTCCTAGCCAGCTCGGGTCGATGGCTTGTATGCAGGAGAAACCCAGACAAGACCAAATGAGACCACCATATCCAGCAGTTTTCGGTGAAGCCAGAAGTACCAGTGTATTGTGTCTCAGGTTTTTCTATTATTGACTTCCTGTTGCACAGGACCTATCCCTATAGTTCCTAAACCGCACATGTAACAGAGTTCATCTCAGCTAAAACACTGAATTCAAAACCCATTTGATTGGGTCAAATCAGTCTTTAAATCTTATCTTACAGTATGTTGCATGCCTTTAGCCCCCCTCTAACTTCTAACTTCTCCACATTTGTCAGGTTATACATAAAGTTAATTTTCAGGGACAGATACATAATATTCATTCTAAATGCGATAAGAAGCAAAAATATTAAATATTGTATCCTTTAAAAAAAAATCATGGAAAATTGTGACATCCCTTTAGGTTCAGACCACACCTGTCAATACTTTGTAAAACAACCTGAACCTGAAATTACAGGAGAAAAGCTTTGGTGGTACATCTCAACAATCTTTGGATATCTAGACTTAAATCTTGCTTCTGATCTCTGCAGCTCCTCTTTACCTTCAGTGAGCTCTCTGATTAATGCTCGTTCTTCATGCGGACATCTAACCATAACCTACAGATAAGCAGTTGTTCCACCCTCCTTTAAATTTAAGACGCGGAACTAAAACGATACTTCATAATAATGGATATTGTTTTATAACCTAACCTTAGCTTAAACCTCTCCGCTTTATTCTTGACCTTTCTTCTTTACTCTTCAGTGTTAATGATGCGGTTCATTCACTAATGTTCTCTAACAAACATCTGAGGCCAGAATTAGAACAGCAACATTCGTCAACAATGCGTGAGGTCTTTTGGAATGTAGTCTGTGACTATATATCAGATGCTCATTTCCAGATTTCTAGCAGATTTATTGTAGTTTTCCTGCTGGTCCATAGTCTGGCTGATTTAGCAAGACTCTGAATTATTATTTAGTCTCAAACACAGGTTTAATCTGCATAAAACAGCCTTTTTCAGAACTGTGTACAAGCAAAACAAAGAAACAACCCTTTCATTTTCCAGAACTCCCACCCTTTGATGTTTAGTCGCAGGTGTTTTTTCCTGTAGCTCTGTCATAGTATTATACCTTTGCAGCTGCTGAAGGCGATGGTCCGCAGGCAGGAAATTGTGTTTAAGGTTTAGGTGGGTGAGGTCGTGGCTGTAAAAGAGGTTGGGGGGAAGAAGTTCCAGACTGCAGCAGGACAAATCAACAGAGTTGATTCTCTGGGACACCATCTAGAAGAAATTATAGAGGAGAGAAGTGAGTGTGAGGACAAAGCAAAGATGCACAGTATCACTGCCATCACACCTTGCTTTAATAATCCTGTACATAATGTGCTGTATGTATGCTGAAGTTAGGAGTCAAATATCATTCAGGGTTAATTTTAAAAAAGGAGAGAAAAATCTGAGAAAGTGTTCTAAGTGTGTGAGCACCTGATCTCGTTTAACTCAAACTGATTGCAGAGTGGTAGTAATGTTCCTTTTTTCTTGTTGTAATAACTAAAATTGTATAAGAAGAAAGCTCTTTTTAAAAAGGTCAAATTAAATGCCTGTCATCTTAAAAAAGAAACGAAACACTCTGTGAAGTCGAGTCTTTAAGAGTGGAGATTGCCTGCAGCTTTTTAGTCGTCACTGAGGCACGTACTGTCTCTATCCAAGCGTCTATTCTGAGTGGCCCTCTGGGTGCCGGTGACATGCATGTCCCTGTTAATATTTAGAAAAGAGGTTTTCTGGCTATGTCCTACTTGAGTTCAAATGAGAGACGGGAGAGAAAGCGACCCGAGTTGGGATTTCGTGTGAGAGGGCACCAAGAGACGAGCGGTTTATACACTACGAATAGGACACTTTAAAAGCTATGAAAAACCTTTTGCAAACTGGTAAATCTATTTAATTTTGATTCAGTGATCAACTTAATTGGAAGTTCCTTAATTGGGAAGAACCACATAATTATAACCCAGATTAGAGATAGTTTAGTCCAGTTTACCGAAGACCTCTTCCTGACCATGGGTGTATTCAAGTCGGGGTTTAAAAACAAGCATATAATAGGATATATATTAGGATATAAAAAGCTTTTTCTGCATCAGTTAAAAACTGTGGAAACCAAAGTATATTTATCCATGCACTAATTATCCAAAATCAGTTTCTCACCCATTTGCTTTGTTAAAGCTACTGGGTAACTCTTATTTTTGGAAAGAGAATGTATTTGATCCGTTTTTAAAGGAATCAGACTCAATTAAGCAACAAAACCACAGGAATCTCTGTGGATGGGTTCATAATGGTTTGCCTGCAACCTTGTCTCCTGCTTAATATCCATTTGGGTGCTCAACAGTTGGACTGGTGTGGGTGTCAGCTGAACATGCACTGATATAGCATGGACCTGATGTTTCTGTAGTGCAGAGGACACATATGCTTTTGTTGCTCTTTCCTTTTCCAGCTCTCTCACACACTCCGTACCTTGGCAGCATGTCTGTGCCAGCGCAGGTGCTCTGTGAAGTTGTCAAAACTGACATAGTAGGTTTGACTTTGAGGCCCTGCCGAGCTGAAGGCCAAACAATGATTGTGCTTCTTCACCTCCTCCACCTGTAGTCAAGGTAAACATAAGAGGGACATAACATTTTCAACCTCTCTTACCACACAAAAGGGACATTTATGTAATAGAATTAATAAAAGAAAAGGAAACGAAACTACGACAGGGTAACTAATTTAAAATGACCTATATTAAGGCAATAGAAACACAGAACGGCTGCTAGGTAGATAAATTCAGCGACCAGAAATGTTTTTAAAATATGCACGGCATGCAGTCATCTGATACAAACATGTGCGTGACAGAGGCAACAACAAATGTATGTGATAAATGACTTCTGAAAAAAAGGCACGGTCACGCTTGAACATGGGATATCCTTTGTGAATGAATGACCGATCTGTTATGGAGTCTGAATAGAACACCAGCACACAAACTCAGAGCATAAATAAATGCAGAGTCACGTGTTGAGTGTGAAATGTTTAGAAACAGGGTGTGGTGCGGGGATTGAGTGTTCTTTGTGTCAGACATAAAAGGAGATAATGCTTTTCCTTAAACCCCCAGGAGCTTATTTTGCAGGTTAACATATTAGGCAATAAATGAATGAAGCTCGGTTTATTGAGCATTATCTCACAGAAGATTAAGTGTATTAGGACTCAAGATTAGAAAGGAAAAACACAACCCAGCTGAATGATGAAAACATACAGCTGAAACCAGCAACACTCGGAATGAATTTATGCAAAAACGGACAGCATAAATATGACATCATGCTTTCATTATAAAGAGGTTAAAATAAAGATGGTTCTCATCAGCTAGATAAGAAGAGAATAAGATGCAGACGTGTGTCATGTTTCTGGTGCCATGTTGCCTTTACATACCTTCCCCCCTATGAGTGGCAAAATGTGCATCTTCCCAATCTGGCTCTCCTTCACAGATGAGACGATGAGGCAGGTGCCGCACAGGATGACCTGGCGTCTGGTCCAGCGGTTGACTGGCAGCTGGAGCTTCCCTTTCCGGACGTTGTACGTCCCTGAGAGCTGCACCCGTTCTGAGCTCTCGATACTTTGGGGCTTCCCTGTAGAGAAAAAAACAATATATAGTAAAATTAATTTGTAAACATGGACAGCATAAGCTCGATCTGTCAAATTAAGAGTAATTTAAAATGTATTTAAAAGACATATCTGATACTAATATTCTTTTTATAAAAAATACTAAATGTATAACATCGATAAATCAGAATAATCCTATGTATTATTTTTCAAACCAGACAAGTAATTCTAAAAGCTAATTTTGACAATTCTTTGTATTGACAAGTGCATGCATGGAGGATTGCATGTGATCCGCAACCTCAGTATCATAAGAATTTATATTATTGTACATTAGACAGACAAGATTTTACAAAAATTACACAGAAAGCAGCAGTTTACCAAGAATATAGATTTGTGGCTTCTAAGTGGTCGCAGAAAAAAGGGTGAATAGATCATTTAAGCTCGAAAAGTGATTGAATTAAAAAGCTATTGGAATGTTGTATTTAAAGGTAGGAACAACCAAATGGTAAAAGAAGACGTCACAGTACAGCAAATGCTATGGATGGGAAAAATATCCCAAGCAGGGAATAAACAACCAGATCACCTTGAAGGAGCAAAACTATGAAATTGGATTCTCTACCAGCAGAGTCTACTCCCTACTAAATGGCTGCTCATGTCCGGTGAACACATTAAGTGACCAAATGCTATATATATTGACAGTCATTACCTTTGAATTTGATAATTTTCTTTTTCCGTGCCTGAAGCAAGTGCTCCATTAAGGTATATATTTTACCTTTCCTTTGTTTATTATTAAACCAAAGTTACTATTTAGGCCAAACAATGTACTGTTGTGGGGAAACTAAATGCAGTCATAGACTCAGTGGCCTGAGAGATGCTGTGCCCTGTACATGTACATACTCTCGCCAGCTTTTTTCCTGTGCTCACTTAAAACCTTACGGGTGAAACAATGACTTGAGATCTCCTCAAACTCTGTGCTCAGCAGAAGTCAAATTTGCCACTCTAGGGACTCCTTTGAGTCCCTAGAGTGGCTATTTTTTTCTTTTTACACATTAATTATTTCATTTATGGAAATGGATACAACTATAAAAAGCAACCAGCCAACTTTATACATGGAAATTTAATATATATCTTAGCTCAGATATCTGGTGGGTCTATGTTTTATTTGGGTAATGTCAAAAGCCAAGCAGCTCTTTGCCCATAGATAACACAGCTGTTAACTGACCATAGTTGATAAGTTGCCAAATGTAAATAAATATAACTCACTGAAAATGTTTTACAAAATATTGATTGGTGTTTATTGTCTAGTATTTGATACAGCTTCCCAAAGCCAACAGAGAAAAAGGGCTTTATTTCTCCAAAACAAAATTTAATCAGTCTGACTACTTTGGTTTTTTTATCCGGTTCCGTCTTGCCATCATAACCCTGCCAAACCTGACAGTCGGGCTGCTTATCAGGTGTTCTGTCAGCTAGGGCTGTGTTATCATGCTGTCTAAACATCCAACTGCTTTCTGTCTACCTCCACCTCTGCAAAAACTTCCCCGGGGGAGAAAGACCCCCCCCCCTGTGCAGTTTCTCATTCAGCCTACTTTCATCTGGATGTTTAGGAAGATTATCTCCAGGATGCTCTTCACAGATTAACATTACTAAAGACTTTGGTCCATTTTGCAGTACACAAGCTCATCGTTTGCACACATTTCAATTTACTCTAAACAGAGGAAAGCAGAGGTGAAGGTTTGAGAAGCAAGAGTTGGTAGCATGAGCATGTGTGAACTTGCATGCACTCTAGTTGGTGAAAATAAATCAGGTCTTTCATATGCCAACTGCAGGGTTAATGCAATCCAGTAGGTTAGTGCAAACTCTGGTGGCTTTATATCATGTAATTCACACCTAAATTGTAGTTTTATGATAGTTTGCTGTACTTTGAATTTCACGTTTATTAGAATGTACGGTAAGAAAAGATCCATTTTTTTTAAACAAAGCAAACTTTTTTTTTTCACAGGATGCAAATATATATGCTTAACTATATAGAATAAACAGCTCAATATACAGAAATTAGCACAAAGTTTTAAGTAGCTATGTCACTGGAAGGTTGTCGCTTCGAAAGTAAGCTATAATACCAACACGTCTATCAGTTTATATGACAACATCCTGCAATCTAGCCTTAGCAGAAAACATAGCAGCAAACTTCTGTGTTGTGGCAACGCCAACATCAACAACTAAAATCATAAAGCAAATCTTTATAGGATGTTTTTATACCTCAGCAATAAAACTGTACTTTTTGGCAGGAAGTGAGAGCCGGCAATAAAACAATGGGACTAATTATAATGGATATTTATAAGACATAAATGTGTAAACACAATCTTTGAATCTAATACTGCATATTATTGTGAGAAACCAAAGAATGCCAGTGCCCGGATATGAGCCGTTTTCTTTTATACCTAAAATAAACCTAAATTTTTGTACTAATTCCCATCTTTTCTACTGTTGATCTCCAAATCAAATTAACTGAACATCTATACCAAATGGAGTGTGAAGGCAGAGAATGAAACTGCTGGTTTTAATCTCTCTTTGATGGGACTTTATTATCAACACCCACTTCAAACACCAAGTCAAACCCGTAAAGCAGCTGGCTGTTGGTGCAATCATAATGTGCATACAAAGGTAAAGGTGTAAGTTTTTTTCTGTAAGTGTAAGTTTGCATTTTCAACAAGGCATTGTTTGTTTTTGCTTTGGAAACATGTATAGAGTTTCCAAAGCATCAGATGGATTTTATCATTCAAAGATATCAGTTGGGTGAAGCAACAAAGGAAATTCCAAGGAATTAAATATACCATAGAACACAGACCTCAAGGAAAGAAAATATGGCACAACAGGGCTACTACCAAGAACAGGAAGTCTGTCTTAAATTAATGATAAGTTGAGAAGAAAACTAGTCAGGGAGGCTGCCAAGGGGCGGACAGCCACACTGAAGGAACTGCAGGAATTTCTGGCAAGGACTGATTATGTAGAATATGTGACAACAATCTCTCCTCTTCTTCATATGTCTGCCATGTGGTAGGGTGGCATCACAGAAGCCTTATCTTACAACGCCCGACTGAATTTTGCAAAAGGACATCTGAAATCTCCGGAACGCACCTGGGAAAATTAAGGTTAAACTTTTTGGACATAATTCCAAAAGATATGTTTGGTGTTCAGCACCAAAAGAAAACTGCAATTAGAGCTAAGCACGGTGGTGGTAGCATCATGATTTGGAACTCTTTTTATTTAACTGGACTTGGGGTCTTATTAGAGTGGAGGGGATTATAAACCCTTCCAAATACCAGTCAGTGTTGGAACAAAACCTTCATCTTTCAGCACAGCATTGACCTCAAAGCACACATCTAAATCAGCTAAAGAATGGCTTCACTGGAGTAAGGCTGAGGCTTTGGAGTGGCTCAGGAGGAGAGTATACAGCCGAATCCCATCGAACATCTGATTAATATGAAGACGGCTGTGCACAGGTGATGCCCTTTAAATCTATCAGATTTAGAGCAGTTTTGCAAAGAAGACTGGGCAAACATTGCTACATTAAAATGTGCCACGCTGATAGGCTCCTAACCGCTAAAATCCCACAAAGTATTAGTTTAAGGGTGTGCAGATTTACGCAACCAGGGTCTTTTAAAACTTTTAGTCTGGATTTTTTCTCAATAAAGGTTTCAGCTTTTTTTTTTTTTTTACTGCATTGTACAGATTATAGGTCACATTAATGGTGGAAAAAGTTGTGCACTTATTTGTGCACAACTAAGTTGTGAACATTTGTGAACGACTAAGTTGTGAACATTTGTGAACGACTAAGTTGTGTACAGTTGTGTACATTTGTTCTTGAATTGAGGAAGTTAGTGAGACCCTTTGCCAACTGAATAAGACAATTTACATTTAAAATAAGAAAAAACAACTGCATTGACTTATTTCAAGTTCACAATATCCAATTACCTTATTTTAAGAGTAAAAATACTATTTTCATTGGCAAATAAATTTCATTTACCTGTTTAAATTAAGGGTAAATGCACTTAATTTAAGAAATGTTGACATATTTCTAGATTGTTTTTTTAAGTGTGAAATTATTTGTTCTGCTGTCATTTTTTTTCAATCTCAAAACCTGGTATTTGAACAGGGGTGTTTAGACTTTTTATATCCACTGTATAGGCATGTGTGTTTATATATATGTACAGTGACTTCTGTCTGAGAATCTATGTGATGTCTTCTTTCACACAGAGACACAACCCAACTGTGTTAACTGAACAGACTGGTTACCCCCCTTCCAACTTTCTGGCTGCCGGAGGTTACCAGCAGGAGCATATTTGCATGACCGATCTTATGAAGAGAGAATGTGTTGCATTAGACAAATTATTCACAAGCTTTTAGCCTCAGTAAGTCACATGGGCATATTCCTCCTATTTTTAGGCTTTTGTTGAAGCATGCTCACTCCCACACAAGCATATGCAAAAAGACAGACACACGCCCCTTAGGCCTCTTCAAACACCTCTGCATGTGACCACACATTCAGACACCACTACAACTATCTGACATGGACGTGGGATGGTAGGGGATATACTTGAAACAGTCGGACCGTGGGAATGCAACCTGGAGGAAATGGTGGGAGAGGTGGGAATCCTGCTCTGTGAGCGAGAGAACAGCATAGTGATCCTGCAGGAAATTATAATAGACATGTGTTGTATTCTGAACTCATGGACTACAGGCCTACCTACGCTTGGAATATTTTGAGAGCTAAAGATGTTAGTCATGATAGTCAGCCATCCCATAATCTATGAAGGATGCATAAGAAGTAGAAGTAAAAATAGTAAAGGGCCTGCAAAGAGAATGCTTGTGTGTGTGTGTTCAAGTGCAGGAGCCAATCTATTCTGAGAATTACACTATGAAGGAGCAGGCGTACAGTGTGTGTTTACGTGTGTAGGGAACTAAAGATAGTTTCCTTCCTTTCCCCCAGGCAGAGGAAGTGACGGCTTCCCTTCCACACTGGGATCCG